CCTGCTGAAGTGTTTTACAGATGGCACTAATTATGGGGATTGACTCTTACCTTACCTTTGTTCCCATCAGTACCTTTCTTCATTAGTTTTCCTTGCTGTACATGTTGGCTGCATACAGGGATGTTGCTCCTCCCAAGCTTTGCAAGGGAATGCAGTCCCTCTTGTAGGGAGTAGTAGAGTTGTCTGGGTTGCTTGATTTGATAGGACTGAGAACATGACCAGACTTGGAAGAAAAATTACAATTCATTAAGCAGAATCTGATCCCATGATCTTGAGCATACATGTACCATGGTACCTTCGTTGCTGAACTTTTTTTATAGCAGTGTCTCATGCTGCTTCAAACAGTACTGCAGTCATCAAGTTTGTTGTTACCTTCCCCACTGACACTTCCTTGGTGTTCCATGTTTTAATTATAAACAAGGGAAAGTGAAATGTTTGATATTTGTGGGTCAGTCTACATACCAAAGGGGGGTGGAAAAAAAGGCAAATCTGAATCCTATTATGAAAAGGCTTCTCTAAATTTTCAGATGCATGTGTTCTGGCCCCAAACATTGTTCCCCAAGGATATTGCCAAGGGGTGAAACTTATCTGTGGAATACAAAAGTGTTATTGCTGCATCTTGAGGTTAGGATATTTTCAATAGGCTTCATAAAATTTAAAGCTGAAAGGGATATCGTTAAACTTCTCTTACTGAGAAGTTGTGTGTCTACTACTGTGACACAAAGCAAATAGGCAAGGCTTGTACTTTGAAGGGAGTACTTGAAATAGCATGATGCACCCCCAAAAAAGTATATCATGGATTTTGAAGGCAAATAACTTTGGCTTTTGACAGCTCTTTGCTACAAACTGAACTACATAAAAAAGGAGTTAATTTTGGAGCTATGGAAGTGAGCAAGTAGACCAGTTTTGTAGCTGGATTATTCTGAGTGACTTGTGTCCTTATCTTGCTGGTCCTTTACAGCTGTGATAGGGCTGTTGAAACTTTCAGAGCAGTTGGGTTCTTGCTGTACTCTTAAGGATGCCTCAGTAGAGTTTTTAGATGGGAAATGCTCCCTTGTGTTCAAATAATGTTAAATGTAAATACTCCTTCCATTAATATTACAGTGCCTCCTGTTTCAAAACCTCTTCCTAGTATTAATAAAATATGAATGGCAGGTGAAAGGTACTCTTTAAATTGCTGCAATCTTTTCCCTTATTCTACCAAAACAGAGTCTGTCCTGTTTGTTTCTGGCCAAAGGAATGGTACTGCAAGACTGGAATTCAGCTTAAGTTAGGAGTGTTGCTAATGGCTTCAGCAAAAGTAATAGCTCCTTATTTGGTTTTGGCTTGCTCAGAGGGACAAGCACCATTTTACAGAATGAGGGAAGGGCAGAGGTCAAATCAGTCTATCCCTGAGATCAAGCACAGCTGTGGCTTAACTCAACTTGGCAGTGCAGGAGTTGAGTGTTCAGAGGGACAGCACAGTGCAAACTTAGATAGAATAGGAAAAGAAGCAACATGGGTAATTAAAAAAGGCAGCATTGAAGTCTAGACAAATGCTAGGACCTATTGTGGCTTAGACAGTAGGAGGAAAAAGCTTTAGTAGGGATTTAAACCCTAGATTTGTGAGAATCCACACCTTTTAGGGCCATGACTCATTTTAATTTATTTTTGTAAAGTGCTTAAGATGCAAAATTACATCACCTATATACATGCCAATCAGTTGGGCCAATGTAACTTAAATTTAAGTGCTCCTTTTTTTTCTTACAGATTTATAGTGAACAGTGATAGCCCTACAGCTTAGTACTCAGCATGATACAGGTAACAAAGTACTGTCTAAGCAAACTATACTCTGCAGGGCTATTAAATACTATTTCTATTAAAAAGAGGGGGAAAATAAAACTAGGGGGTTAACAGAACTCCCAAAATTAACAAGATTTCTTAAAGGAAGCTTGAGAATACAATTCCCTGATTCTCAAACCAGTTCTCAGTTCCTCTTCTGAAATAAGAGACTTTTTTTTTTTTTTTTTTTTTTGAGTTTCACTCCTAATTATGTGAGATGAAACCCTTTCAGGTATCTGCTAGAGTAAGCTTCCCCTTGTACCTTAACATGATACAGAACTGAGCAGTTAGATGTTAAATGTATTTTACAACACTGTAACACTTTTTAGAGACCTGCATTATTGCAGCAAACTTAATGGACTTTTTGCACTACTTTAATATAGCAGGATTGCAAATCAGGTGGAACAAGCACTGAAAGCCTTAGTGGTACTTGTAGATGCTGCAATAAATCAAAGTGAGTCTCTGGAAAACTAAGCTTGAACAATTACTTAAGTCTGTCAGGCCCTGGAGTAGCTGTAAGAATTGTTTTGAAGGGCTGATTTAAGTTTTAAGTGATTAAGAAACTTACTGGGCAGCTGCTTCAGCTGTGCAAAGGAAGAGGAGCTGTTCAGTCCTGCAGCAACCAATCTGTTCCTTGCAAATAACTCGACTAGGCTGGCCACTCAAAACAACTATTCTGTAAGTCTTCTCCCAACAACTGTTTAGGAAAAAAAATAGTATATCTTAGTCAATGTCTGTACTGAAGATGTAATGTACTAAATAGAAATGGATACAAATAAAAAGAATCTTACTGTCTTTGTATGATGCTTTTGATATCTTCTTTAATAAAAACTCTGCTCCACCATTCAGAAAATCCCAACAGGGCTAAAAGCAGGCTCCACTTACACTGCAAACACATGCAGACACATATGCATTCCTTTTCACCCTCAAACGCAGCGTGCTAGAAGCTTGAAGCATTTCCTCAGCCATGTAAGAAACACTCCAACTCAGACAGTAAGAATATGTTCAGGCTGTAGTGTTGCTATTCTTTAAGTCTGCAAGTGGACATCTATGCGTCCACTGTGGTTGTATAACTCCAGATTTTCAAGGAGCTTTTATTGCTGGTAGTGGCATTTTCCCCCAAGATTGACAAGCTTTGGGCAATGGGTGTGCTACATACCATCCATTAAGGATAAGCTTTAGAGCAGTTCAGATTTGTTTATCCTCTTTTGTGGATTTGCCAGCCTTTGGAAAGAGCAGAGGCCTAAGTAATGCTGAACAAGAATATGGAATTATTCACAGTGATGAAATAAATGGTAGATAGGAATGATTGTGACTACTCTTCTCCCTGTTAGCAAAATACATGTGCCATCACTTCCAACTCTTCCTGTGGCACTCTGAACCCAACAAAACAGTGGGTCAAAGCAGGGAAAAAACAAAAAATGGAATTATACTGTCATCATTAAAGAATTTTCCATATGGATGCCAGCAAATTAAAGTATGATCATTCACCCACTGAAAAGTAGTGTGAATTCTTGCTTTTCAGCTTTATTTTGTCAAGCACCAGTTCTTACAGGAATCTAACAAATATTTGGGATTCTCAAAACTACACTTAACTTCCCTGATTGGACAAGTACCAGTTTATCGCATCCCTTTCAGTGAGTAGGTAGTTTTGTGCAACAACCATGAGCAATGTGCAGTTCCTAAACATTGCTACTGCCATCTCTTGCTACTCGAACTGTTGTCATTTCCCCTTGTGAAAGAAAGAACATAGTTAAATTCTCTGAATGAAGAGTTCCTTTTAAATATAAAAAAACTGAGACCCCTTAACACTTACAGTAAATAGTCAATCCTAAATCATATTTCCAGGATGCCTTGTGAAGCACTCCTAAATTAAGAAATGCCAGAATTAAGCCAGCTCTTGTGCAGCATCAGTTCATCCCCCTTTGAGTATATGATCCTCTAATTACAACTCTGTTCTAAGATTACATACTATTTTTCCCAACAGATGGAACTTGTACCTAAATTAGTCAGTTATGCAATAAGTGAGCTTGACTGTAGGTCTCCTGCCTCACTTGTTGAAGCATTAAAGACATTCAGGGGTTGAGCCTTGCAGGGAGGGGAGTTGTCCTACATTTAAAGCAGTGGAATAGGACCCTGGAGAATTTAGATTCTGGCCCTGTCTACTGGCTAATTATGTGACGCTAGTCACCTCAATTAGCATGCAGGAGCAGCTGCCATATGTGCCTCATTTTTGGTGCACTTACCCTGAAATCCTGGGAATGTCATTTACCTCAAAGTTGCAACCAAAGTGACCAGCAGTAGATGTTTCAGATCTTGCATTCAACAGTAGGCTTTGGAGACCAATGTGCTGTAATAGATTCTATGGCCTCTTTATTCCACCTTGCCCCCATCTCTAAGCTGTTCCAGCCCTGACTCTCCTGTCCTTGTCCTCACCAGTCTCATCCTGAGTTTCTCCTAGTACTAGCCTCTTTGCATATCAGATCCAGTTGCACCCCCTCCAGATTTCTGGTCTTTCCCAGATATTTCCAGTCCTCCCTACCCCCCAGTTCCTTGTCTTCAGTCTGCTTTCCAAGCCTGTATCAGTTCTTGCTCTCCCATAGGTGCATAGGAAGTGCCATGCTGGGTCAAACCACAGGCCCATT